GGAGCACTGGGTGTTATGCACAAACAATGAATCATGGAACACTTCATCTAGAACTAATGATGTAATGTATGGGGATTAACATAAGAATAAAAAAAAAAAGAAAAGGTTATTTGCAATAGACATAGACATCAAAATAATGATGAATTTGATCAAGCAATGTAGAAAAATTATAGCACAAAGGCATGATTTCTTTCTTCCTAAAAAGTCTTGACTTCTGTATACTATGAAAAAGGTAATTTTGAGAGTAGAAATAATAATCTCCATACTGCCATATAAATAGAACAGCTCTCCTAAGAGAAGATCAAGTGACATATGGGAAATGGGGAAAAAATGAAAAAGTAACTATACATTAATGCTCATTTTTAGCTGTTCCTTTTGCTTTCTGAGTCAATTTGCTAACATATAAGACTCATCTATAAAATGATAAGTTATGCTTTTAAGTAAATATGCCAAAACCTAGTGATTTAAATGCATATTACCTTAAAATGTAATTTCAGTCAACAAATGGAAAGGCCATCTGTGTGTTTACTAAGAGGTGTCTCCTCTGCCAAATACCTACAAAACTAATTTAAGAGCCAGGTACAAAAGCTGTCACTTCAGTAACATAGTCTAAGAGATCTGAGGAGATCAACTTCATCAATTAATATGAGAAATGAACGTAATTTGCATGAGATCAGGACTATAAGCTTGAACTGTAATTTGCCTATGAAATAGCAAGAACTTGCAATGAACTTAAAAATGCCATTTGAATCAAATGCAGTGCATTTCACACATCTGCTAAAACATGCCAAGAGTCTAATGTGTTCTCGTCACTCCAGTGGGATCCATGGTCCTTACCAGGCTGCGAGGTGCATGAAGAAGAGTCCCCACGGCATTCATCTTTGGGTTCCTTTCCCCTCCCCCCATGCTACAACAGCGGCTAGCACTTGACAGGCCTTCAACACACGTGTATTTTAAATGGAACTTCCTTTCATGTAAGGAACCAAAAGTCTCTTCCCTTCCCGGGAAAGTATCATTCAGTTTAAGGTGAGTGAAATGCAAAGCAGTGATCAAATAAGGTATTTCTTTAAAAATGCTATTTCCTATTTGACCTACTACAAATAATTCAGAGAAATTTTGTAGATGATTGACTCATGTTTCTTGGAACCCGTTATAAGAAAAAATCTGCTTTTTTCAAAATTCTCATTGAAAATTGTTATCAAGGGCGCCTGAGTGGCTCAGTCGTTAAGCATCTGCCTTCGGCTCAGGTGATCCTGGGGTCCTGGGATCGAGCCCCGCATCGGGCTCCCTGCTCCGCGGGAAGCCTGCTTCTCCCTCTCCCACTCCCCCTGCTTGTGTTCCCTCTCTCGCTGTGTCTCTCTCTGTCAAGTGAATAAATAAAATCTTTAAAAAAAATTAAAAAAAGAAAAGAGTTATCAAAATAGGTCACTAGAAATTTTTATTATGAGCTAAAATTAGATTGAAAGTGTTTCACCATTCAAAAATATAGGAAATAAACAGTGAGAGTGTTTCACTAGCTGTACATCTGGAATGGTCTTAGGCCCAGAGATATCTATTCCAGGAACTCATGGGGGTATTATCTGGAGTCTCATCTAGCAGCAGATCCAGACATCAGTTAACAGTCTTGTCACAAACCATACCACTTGTTAGTAAAGAATGAGAGAAAACAACATGAGTCTTTCTGATTATTCACGTGCTACCCTTCCTAAAATCTGGAGAACTTGGACCTTTGGAATGAGCTGGTGAAAAACCATAAAAGTAGATTTTCTGGGACATAAGTAAGACCTGCATCCTCAGTAATAATAATAATAGTAAGATAATATTCACTATCCACTATGTATCCACATTATAAATTAGTTTTAATTCTTATAATAATACCACAATGTCAGTATTATGGTCAGTATTTTATAAGTGAGGAAACTGAGATTTAGAGAAAATAAATAAATGTTTCCAAATCACAGCCTTATAAAGATCCAGTTGGGGTCCAGGTGCAAGTCCTTAGCTGCAGTCCTCTGTAAAATGAGAATGAACCATGTGCATGAGGGGTAGAAAGCAAGGGAAGGACAGCATTAGAGTCAGATACCTGAATTTGAATCCTAGCTCTGATTTCACTAGCTGTGCAACCTTGGATAGTTACTTAACTTCTCTGAACCTCAGTTTCCATAGCTCTAAAATAGTAATAATAATGCTTGCTACATAGGGTTGCTCTACAGATTAAATGAGTCCTCTACAAGCATTAACTTACCCTCCTGGATCTTCTCTTTTCTAATAAAAATTCATGTGTCCTAATACCTCTTCTTTTTTTTTTAAAGATTTTTTATTTATTTATTTGAGAGAGAGAGAATGAGAGAGAGAGCACATGAGAGGGGGGAGGGTCAGAGGGAGAAGCAGACTCCCTGCCGAGCAGGGAGCCCGATGTGGGACTCGATCCAGGGACTCCGGGATCATGACCTGAGCCGAAGGCAGTCGCCCAACCAACTGAGCCACCCAGGCGCCCCATGTGTCCTAATACCTCTTCTGTGGAGTTAGGGTGAACATAAATGAAGTAAGATGAAGAGGTCAAGACGTTAGTCACATGGAAGGTAGCATTATTATTATGTGAAGGAATAAATAAACTGTCCCTTTAAAGTGACATCTTTGCTGTAATTCTGTTTTAAATGTATGCTTTAAAATGAAAAGAGTATGACTCCACTAAAAATTAAAGACAGGTATGAAGGGGGTGGGGTGTTTCACGCAGCTGCGCTTATGAAACCAAATAACTGTTGAAGTCAGAATCACAACCACCCCAGCACAGAGATAAAGACAACACCCACGGAGTGTTGCTAAAGTGACCAACTCACCCCAGCTTGCCCAGGACCTGCCTGTTCTCAGCACTAACTGTCCCTCATTCCATGAACCACCTGCATCCCAGACAAACCAGATGCTGCTTCACACTAAGTGTGCTAAGCTTTGTGCTGGGTTCTTCATGTACTCCATCCCTCAGCCTCCCCCGACCAGAGGCAGGTCCCACCTGAGCTGGGGCACCCTTTTTTCTCTACCAAAAAAGTTGTCATCATAGGTAAAGGCAGCAAACCATCCTAAAGCTGATGCTTCTTGTCCTGGAAAAATCTCTCAGGCAAATACCGGGTGAGGAGATATGCTCATTAGGTCTGCTAATTTGAGCTTCATGAAATAAAAAGTATTTTCAGGGAGGAACAGGCCAGAAGAGCAAGGGGCAAGATGAATCTGGGTCCTGGACTGGCTGAGGCTGGAACAGTCTGGATCTAGGTGCACGACAGGAGCTGCAGCAGTGAGGCTCAGGCCTAGCGGGTGGGAAGGCCCCTCCAGAGCATGCAACCCTGGGAGATGGAGCCCCAATCTCAAGGATCAGCAGCAGACCTACAGCAGCCCCAACAGAGGACCTGCCTCCCCACCCGTCTCAGGCCTGACCGTCAAGGGCAGCAACACCAGTACAGACCACAGGGCTCCCAATTCCTCAGCAGCCCCTCCCCATTCCTCCCCTGTTTAGGGGTGACATCCCCATATCATCCTCTTCAGCATGCGCCGGCCTAGGACCCAATGAGGAGGCAGGATGGGGTGGTGGAAAGGGCTTTAAACTACAGGCTGGGGGCCCCCTTTGATGACTAATCCCGGAGATGGGGACCTGTATCCCCAGAAAAGCACTACCTTCAGGATGAAACACCACCCGGCTGCCCATGTCTACTACCTGAACCAGGGATTCTGCCTGGCTCTTGCTTCGGACACGACAGGCCAGCCTGCTCTCTTCTGCCAAACCCAAGGCCTTGGTCTGCCAGAGACCAGATCAAGCAAGAGAGGACTCCTCCCCCCCAGGGAGACCCCTGGGTGACCTTTGAGGGGAGTCGTTTCCTGGATATCCTAGCACCGTGGCAGATGGGTGCTTAGTTATTGCCTTCTGAGGAATGAATAAAGCCTGTTATAAGCATTCCAAGCTTGGGAGGATAAACTGGGTGTTCTCTACATTTTACAGGTGAGAAAACTGAGGCCCAGAGTAAGTGACTGGCCAAAAGTCACACAGCCTCTGCGTGCTGAGTTGAGATTTAAATCCAAGGCTAGGTCTACACAGAGCCCTCCCTGCCATTTCAGGCTGCCTGCCCAAGATGCCAAATAAGACAGCAAAGCAATTAACCGAGTAGCAAAATATCTCAAGGGAAGGAGAATGTCCCTTCCTTAACATGGAAAAATTAAACCCTACTGAGTGATTAGAGATCCATCCCGAAGATTCATCCCGAAAGCACATTTGTGGGTATCTGACATGATATGGACTAGTCAGAGCAAAGTCAGGGTTTTCCACAAGCAAAGAGAAATCTAGGCATGGAGACTACTATTGGCTAAAAATGCCAGGTAAGCCATCCTCTGTGAGAAGTTGTACAAATACTTTCAAGGGTCCAAATGGATAGAAAAAAAGGTCTTTTGGAAAAATTTTAAAATCAAGCTGTACAGCCCACAAATATCAGAGTCAGAGGCTTTGAACATAGCCTAAAGGTGCTTTGATCCCAAGAAAAGGTTATATTTAAAGATTTTATTTTACTGGAGCCTTAGAGGAGATCAAAGATAGAGGATGAAATGATTTTTAATCATTTGAGGATAAACAGAAAGGCACCTAATGACACTTGGGGATTTGTACTGTTGTCTATCTTTCTCCGTATGGTGTATACCCTTTTATATAGAGTAGTGATCAATGAGTAATTGTGATGCTGTGTTTGTGTAATAAAGGGTCTTATTTCTCTAGTAAATATAATGAAACTGTCTTCACTATATTCTCCTTTAACTGCCCCCATTGAGAAGACTTGCTGCTCACACCACGGCCCAGGTTCCACCTTGCTTCTGCTGGTAGCCCACCCAAATCGTGGACACCGGCCGAGCAAAATCGAACCTCAGTCTCACCAACTCAAATCTCTGCATGAAGGCAAAGCCCAGAAATGTAACCCATTGTTATTTCCCTCAGCTGTCCTTTCTTTGATGCCATTCCTGTTCACGTCTTTGACCGGATCTTCACCTTTTCCTTCACTGCTTAGGTATCAGTGCTTGGAAAATGTTACGTTGAAAATCAACTTGTCATCAGGTTGCTAGTTTTACACACAGCTCCATCCATAGAGCATATACATTCAATGAATGATAAGCCATCAACCTTTTCTAAGACGACAAAGTGCTTCTGTCCTGACACAGCGGTGACTCTGTAAATCGCTCCCATTTTTCAAGGCTTCCCTCCCATGAAGCGATGCTGGAACGATGTGTTCCAGTTTGTATAATTCTTCTAAATACTTGCCGAAAACATCTCTGAAAACACCGACAGTGTTTTCAGCGGTTGTTTACGTTAGCGATCACACCATCAAAACAACCTCAACAACAAAAATGTACCACAAAAGCAGGAGACCCTTCAGAGCAACACTGCCCATTGCTAAAGGCTAATGCATATACAGGTATTCCCCACTTTTCGAAAGTTCGCATCATGCCACTTCGCTTTTACGGAAGACCTACGTTAGTAACTATTTTCTCTAACCGAATGAAAGCCAAAGAAGCTTTTCGCTTTTACGAAAAACAGCGAAGAAGGAAAATAGCTTCAGCATTTGCTTGGCAGTGAGGCTTTACACAGGCAGCGTGCACCCTGAGCAGCGAGTAGCGCCCCCAGGCGCCTTCCAGGAGAACTACACTCAGCATCTCAGCATCAAGCCACCATAGTTTTGACCTTTGTGGGCAACTCTGCTTTATCTCGATTTATTTTGTACATCCATTAGCAAGATGTGTGGTAGCTTTAGAAAAGCCTAAGGAAGGATATTTTTAGGGCCTGGGGACAGTCGAAATTTTTTCCACATTACCACATAATGGTAATTGCTTCTTCACTTTACATAATTTTGGCTTGTGAAAGTTTTCATCGGAATGCTCTACTTTCAGATGGCAGGGGAAATCTGTATCTTAAAAGCATATTTATAAACGGTGTGCTTGGGCTACCATGTTTTCCTCCTGCAGATTCGCCAAAGAAATACAAAATAAATTTCCAACACATCAATTATTTTATAGATAAATGAAACAAGTATTGTTTTTAAGAGGAAAACCCCATACTATTTTTAGAAGTTCTGGAGGATCTGCAGTGTGTGAGAGTGAATAGTTAATTATCACATTATTCAGTAAAGTCCAAGCCTTTAAATGCATTAAACTCCACAATGGACAGAATAAATCAGAAACATGTGACGCTTGGGCTGAAACTCAGCTTCCGTGGGGCTGGTGTTCGCATCACCAGACGGTACCACGCATGCCCATGGGAATAGAGGGACAACTGAGAAAATGACAAGTGGGAACTGGATGATCTCCCAATAGTCCTTCATTAGGCCCTCTTCAGTGTGACTTCTTCATTTGCTTTTTAAGTGTCTCATGCTCCCAGACCACTGGACATGCCCATTCAAATGTGTGCATATATCCCAAAGGTAAATATATGTAAAATTTCTGTCATCAGTCACTCTGAAAAACTTAATGAGAGTTTTCTCACAGGTGAACACTGTTGGAGCAATTAATGCAACTCCAAATGAGTTAATTTCTCTCCCACTCTTCACCTGCCTTCACTAGAGCGAGCTCTCAGTAGGGCCACCAATACATTGAGTGCTGATAGGGATTAGACCACTGACCCTATCATTCTGCTGTACCTTTAACTGTGTGAATAAAGTCTCGATAAAAACTCAACAGCTCACCTAGAAACCTGACAATGTAGGATCATTTAAACCCTATAGTGCTTTGCATTTCTTTTCGCAGAATATATTCAAAGACTCAGACCACCTAAAAGTAAGTTTTTACATTTCTCACATATTTAGTCCCCTACTACATACAGATTTAGGGCTCGCCAGCCCAGTAGAGTACCATGTAATCTCTTTAAACTATCAAAGATAATCCATTTTATTTTATTTTATTTTTTTAAGATTTTATTTATTTTTTAGAGAGCGAGCGAGAGAGAAACAGCATGAGAGGGGAGAGGGTCAGAGGGAGAAGCAGGCTCCCCGCTGAGCCGGGAGCCCGACGTGGGACTCGATCCCAGGACCCTGGGATCATGACCTGAGCCGAAGGCAGACGCTTAACCATCTGAGCCACCCAGGCGCCCAAAGATAATCCATTTTAAATTGCATCTCAGAATACCATAATCCATTGCAGTCATTGTTTAGCAAACAAATCCAATAGATTCTCAGTAAGTCATTTACATAGGAATATTCAATGAGTGGATTTATTTCTCTACATAAAGACCACAAACAAGCAAACAACAGTACCTTCTCAAAACACTGGATGTTCTTCTCTAACAAAATTACCCCTGGCCATTGTACCATCATTCTGACAGGTCTAATTTTCTAGAGGATGCTCTTGTCCATATTTACAGCAACTGACAGGATTTTGGTTTATTGCTTGTGACATTTTGTCTAGACCAGAAGGGCAATGTCTACTACGGAAAATTCATTTTGGGAAGCAAGGAAATATTTCATACCTCAAAGGCCAAAAGAATAAAACTATTTCAAAAGATGTATTGCTCTTTGTGCTTTTAAAGACAAAGAGTGTCAATTCATTTATAAGCAGAACAAGGTAAATGATCACAACCAAACTATTCTTTGGATAGCCTTTCAATCATTTTGCTTTATTCCAGAATATTGCTTAGTAAAGAGCATTGCCGGTTTTCTATTCCCTGACACATTCTGAGGTTACAAGTACAGAGGTTTGCCGGAAAATAAAATGGGAATTAGCTCCACTCAAATTACCATTGGCATTTCTGGCCTTTCCATTGGTGATTTTGGAACTCAGTGCAGAAATGTCAGAAAGAGTTTTATCCTTTGCTGACAGAGACAAAAATCAGAGAGGGCATGAAAATGAATTCCAATTAAATTTGAATGTTGGAGCCTGAACTCTGTCTTTGTGTATCTAGATGCCTACTTAACAACATGGAAATCATATGCAAAGACACTATCGTTCTGACTTTTAGACAGGTGACAACTGCTTTGTATCTCTAATAATAAAAATAATCCCTTACATTTGTGAAGTGCTTCTCGTTTTACTAAGGATTTGCACATATATCATCAAGGTTATAAACAGAAGTATAACTTAGGGAAAATCAACAGAGTTAACAGGAAAAACACCTATTGCTTCATACCTTGTCATTTGGTGATATTAAAAGTAAATGCATTAGCATTCAATCCTCATCACCACTTATGACCATAAGTAAACAGCTGACATTTTTATATACAGTCCTTTATCCTAACCAGGCATTCTTGTATGTTCAAGAAAAGTGTCATTTCACACATACCACAGTTTTCTTCATCACTGTCATCGTCACAGTCAGCCTGGCCATCACATCTTCTGGTAGCCAGAACACACCGTCCAGAGCCACACTTGAAGTGACTAGGTGAGCATTCTGTTCAAAGCAATGAGCCATGTTATTTTCATTAGACAGAAAGCCTGGAGCCATCAGCTCATTTATCTATTTATGTGTGGGCTATTGTCAAGGGGCTATTCTTGAAGGTAAGATGGTCTTCCGCAAAGCTGAACCAACCAAAGTTAAGTTGGCTCTCTCCATTTGCTTATCAGGATCTTTCTCCTTCATCCTTGGCATCATCTCTCCAGTCAGCTGTTTAGTGTCGTTAGGCTTTCCAGTATTTAACTACCTTCCCGAATGGACAACCATGTCCATTGAATGGACCACCAGAGCCTGAAGTAGCCCATGGAGCCAAGACTTCTAACTACCCAGCTGCCCTTAATGTGCCAAAATTGTTTCCTGTTCTAATCCTTCCCTCATGGTGGGCAGGTCCCTGATTCCATTTCTCTACCTGATGATCCTATGTTGCCAAGGTCTCTAAATGCTTTCAGCTTGAAGTAACCAGGGCTTGATGCTCACCACTACCCTAGGACCCCTTAGTATAAAAGCAGCATGCACATAGAGTGGGCTCTATGAGTTGAGTATGGTTAAGATAAATACCTGAAATATTAAATACATCTCTGCAATTTATTTTTAAAATGAAGACAATTTATTTTTAAAATGAGCACCAAGGTTTTGCAATGTAACCAAGTTCACAGATTCACTCACCCATGCAGCCTGATTGACAACTAGAACACAACAAGAACACTAACAACAGAGAACCTTGAGAAGGTAGCTGATGATAGAGTCATCCATGTTAGATAGCCCATAGTAATTGATTTAAAAATTAACCTTCCACAGCTTCATTGGGCATTAGGCAGGTTTGGTTGTCTGAATTTTCCTCTGGAAACTGACTGCAATCTGTGTCTTCAGGCCACTGTAGGCCCACAATCCCAAGCACAGACTCACAGTGTTCTTTGGAGTGCTCACACAGTGGTCTAAGAGAGCAAGAAAGATAAAACATGGGAGGCAGAAATAGCTACACCTGAGATAGTATGTTAGGAATATATGTAGGGTTTTAATTCTGTGTGAATGTGGGTCTCTGTGTGTATCTGGTGTGTGTATATACCAATATATAGAGAGATGCACAGATACATAATTGATATTTGGGAAAACAAAATAAGTAATACCTCTCTCCACAAAGGACATGCATGCCAAAGGACATACTTTCACTAAGAGAAACTTCATTACAGAAATAGAAATAGAAGTTTGTTGTGTGTGTTTTTTATTGGAATATATTTCACATATAACATGATGTAAATGTAAGGGGGAGACATGTTGATTTGATACATTTATCTATTATAATGTGATTGTCATGTAGAGATAGAATCTCTATCGCATAATTATCATTTCTCTTTTGTGGCTGGAATAATTAAGATCTAGACTCTTAGCAAGTTCGATGATTATAAGACAATCTTGTTGTCTGTATTCACCCTATGGTGCCTAAGATCTCCAAGACCTTTATACCTACTAATTGCAAGTTTACACCCCTGAACAACATCCAGGAAACAGATTCTCCTCTACACTTTACCTTTCTCATTCTCTGTCTTTCAAGCAGACACATTCCCCAATGCTTTTATTCCAAGCCAGGAAGTTCTCAACATCAGTTTGGATAGTCTGCCACCAAGGGTCATGGAGTCTATACAGTATCATCCACTTGAGAGGTCTCTCCCTCTGGGGACCAGTCATGGGAGCTATTTCATGTGCCAACCTGACTTACCTAAGACATGGCCATCATCACTTCAGCTTAGACCGGTAGTGTTGAAAAGTTTGGTACTTCTCCCAATCCCATCTCTACTGAGCTCGAGTTCGTTAAAATAAAGTGTGTTTGTTCCTTTTATAAAGAAAAGATAGACTAAACATTGTGCTAGGTGCCTTCTTTCATGTGTGTCATCTCATTTACACAAAGCATATTTTTAAAGTGAGGTATCAACGTGTATTTCTTTATTTCCTATGAGGGAAAAATGGTTTTGCCTCCATAAATTACCAAGAAATGAGCTACGTAGTTAAAAAAAAAAAAAAGGAAATTAACCAAAATAAGTTCCTAGACAATTTTTTTATTTCCTTTCAAATACGTTATTTATTTTCAAAAGTTTTAAACTTTAAGCTATTCATTTCAACAAAGTTCACTGTCTGTCTCTCTCTCGATAAAATGGGGCAGCCCTTGGGCGCCTGGGTGGCTCAGTTGGTTAAGCGACTGCCTTCGGCTCAGGTCATGGTCCTGGAGTCCTGGGATCGAGTCCCGCATCAGGCTCCCTGCTCAGCAGGGAGTCTGCTTCTCCTTCTGATCCTCCCCCCTCTCATGCTCTCTCTCTATCTCATTCTCTCTCTCAAATAAATAAATAAAATCTTTTAAAAAAAAATTAAAATTAAAAAAAAATTAAAATGGGGCAGCCCTTCCAGAAAGGTCAGCTCCAGTCTAGCTAGAAACTGGTAGGGAAAGGTTAACAATAGAATGGGGGACGTTTCAGAGAAAGCTCTAGTTACATTAAGTCTGCATAAGATAGAGGGGAGCCTGGGTGGCTCACTTGTTAAGTGTCTGCCTTTGGCTCAGGTCACAATCCCAGAGTCCAGGGGTTGAGCCCCACGTTGGGCTCCTTGCTCAGTGGGAAGCTTGCTTTTCCCTTTCCCACTCCCCCTGCTTGTGTTCCCTCTTTTGCTATCTCTCTCTCTCTGTGTCAAATAAATAAATAAAATCTTAAAAAAAAAGTCTCTTATGGTTTGCCCCTCTCTCTCTCTCTTTGTTAAAAAAAAAAAAAGTCTGCATAAGACAGAGCATAACTCGATGCTGGCTTAGCCTCAGAACTCAGGCGAAGACAAAGCCATGGTGTTCCCATATTAGTTTTGCAAAAACAGGATGTTCAATAGTGTTCAATAACTCTCTGTTAGACTGAATAGTTTCGTTGCAGATTTAGAAAAAATGTGTGTAATTTAATTGCTGCAATTTCAAATTTGCCATAGGACACCTGATTTATACAGAGTATAGCACCTGACTCTCCCACTTCCTATTTTTTCTATAAAATGGAAATAATACAATAATACATGAAAAGAATACAGTGAGGTAATAGGATAAAAATAAGACAATGTGCCGCACGGCAACGGCAGAGGTCACTGTTCTTATCCTAACCCATGCGGCATTCAGTCACGGGCACAGCCCTGATGGGAGGGGCCTCCCTCAAAAGGATACTTTGAGGGCAAGACAGCAGCACGACCCTAAAATATTTAACACATTGTAAGGGCTCAACAATGTCAGATTTTTCAGACTCATAACTTAAAAACTAAATGTTAAGACCCATAAACAGGCATGGCAAAAGCAACATTGCTTCATGAACACATGAGTATATTATTATTCTTGTCAGAATATTTAAAAAATTCTTATAAGCAAATATCAAAATGTAGAACTCATTTTGAGAGCCACTGAAAATGAAAGATGTACATGTGAACTGAAGAAATAGAACTAAAGTATCTAAAGAAAGTTCACTAAAATGTTGATTGAATAATGTCTCAGGGTCAGTCTCATCTTGGGCATTTTAATGTGAAACATAAGCCCTGAAATTATAAATCATACGTAGATGTACATTTGTTCCAGAGAATACTCCATTAGGGAAATTTTTTTATCCATGTGAAAAGAAAATCGATGCAAGCATTTGTTAAGTATTATAACAAATTATTATTCACTATCCTTGACCTTGCTTAGCCAAAGTGGAATAAAATTTAGAAATAACTTTTCAACATAAAATGAGTAGATGCTTTCTTAGCGATACTTTAAAAGGCATTTTACAGAAGTTTTCAGAATTACGTTTGCACAAGGCAACATTAACTTTTAATCTGTTTGTATAATTTGTTCAGTTCCCCAACTCATTTTGAAATTTTATTGTTTCCTGTCCTCTATAGATGCCCCTTCCTTGTCATCCATTTGATATTTGGTATTTAATTTACTGTTTTCCTGTCTGTCCACTATATCAATATTAATGCTTTTTCTTAAAGTTCCAAGTGACTTCTGATCCCAACATATGGTTCCCGTAGTTACTGCTCACACTTAGACAAGGACATCTGTATATTCACCCCTTGATGGAAAACAGCGTAAAGACTGCAGCTACCCACTTCTGTGACAGCTGTCTTGTCTTGTACATTCTCTGCCTACACTGCAACACGTGGCAGAGAAGAGCCCAAACTTCCACTAAGCAGTAGTGTTCCTCTCCTATCATCAGTGCTCTTGTGCACTGAGCTTACAGCCAGAAGCCTTGACATTTATGCACACTCATTTACCCTCCCAACAACTCAACCCAACCACTGTTACTGTCTTGATTTTATTTTTTTTTTATTTATTTTTAAATATTTTATTTATTTATTCGACAGAGAGAGCACAAGCAGGGGAGCAGCAGAAGGAGAGGGAGGAGAAGACTGCCCCCTGAGCAGGGAGCCCGACGTGGGGCTCGAACCCAGGACCCCCGGATCATGACCTGAGCCGAAGGCAGACGCTTAACCGACTGAGCCACCCAGGCGTCCCCTGTCTTGATTTTATAGACAGAGTAGAAGAACTGAGGCTGAGAGGGACTGAAAAATCTGTCCCAGGCCACAAAGCAGTCACAGAAGAGCCAGGACTCGGACCAGACGGTGGGCTCTGGAGTAGTACTCTTAACCTGAAGGAGGATATTTCTCATCCTAAATCCAAGCTGCAAGCTTGAAATGCTGGCCCTCATTTCATCTAAGCAGGTAGAAAAACGTCAGCGATGTCCATCCCTTGTCCAAGCTGCAGTCCACGGCTTATGTAACGTCTCTAACTTCTGAGTGCTATCAAAAGTCAGCATTTTAAAACATCAGTGTTGCCAGAGAAAAAAGCAGATATACCCCTTCTTCGCCTAACTCACATTTTAGAACACTTCTTGATCCACCAAAGTGAAACGTGATTTTATTTGATTAAAGTATGTGACCTACTGGAGCGCCTGGGTGGCTCAGTCGGTTAAGCATCTGCCTTCGGCTCAGGTCATGATCTCAGCGTCCTGGGATCAAGTCCCACATTGGGCTCCTTGCTTGGCAGGGAGCCTGCTTCTCCCTCTCCCTCTGCCTTCAGCTCCCCCTGCTTGTGCCCTCTCTGTCTCTCCATTAAATAAATAAATAAAATCTCAAAAAAAAAAAAAGTATGTGAACTATTTATCAAAGGCAGTTCATACCTCCCTTGTGTGGTACTCCAGTAATGAATCCTAACTCAAATATTCATTTTAGAATTCCTACTTCTTTACTTTTTTAACACATAATTTGTTATATACAGAGCTCCTTAGCAATATGGACTTTGTCTAAACTCAAACTAAGTCTCCGATCCCTCGGTTCTCCCTGAGGGGAAAATGAGGATGCTTGGGGGAGACTTCATTGTATTACCTGCAAGGTGGGATCCGCTGGCTTGTGTTCACATCACACTTTGGTACCAAAATGGTGCAAGCAAAGAACATGAGGTATTTGTAACAATTCGTTTGAACAAGTGCAGGGAAAAGAGAAGACTCCCAGCTGATGGATGCTTCCTTTTGAGTCCTGTGGCCAAGGTAATTTGGATAATTTGTATAGTTGTAGGGTAAATTCATGCAGAGTTCCAATGTAATTGGTTCACATTGACCTAACAAGAAAACACACATACAGGTACATACATATATAGTAAATTCCATATGTAAAACAATTTCTTCAAAACTTACAAAATTGCAATCTATCTTATCTTCTTTTTAAAAAATAACTAAGACTAGAGTGCAAACAGTATATAACTTCCATCAGAAGATAAATAATTTGGTTAAAGAACTGCCAAGCCAAGAATCATTTCTGTACAGGCAGCTGCTAGACCAGGGCCCAGTGTGTGTGTTGGAGAAAGTCTTTCTTCGCTTTTTCCCTCAGCTCAACCTCAAGCCACTCTCTTTTATGTTTCCTTTTACCCCTTTTGTCTTCTGATTTATTCATTACTTCTTAATGAATATATTCCCTCATCTTCACAGCCATTTAAAAAAAAATCAATGAATTTGCTCAAATAGACTATTAGATTATGTCTTTATACATTTGATTGTTGATCAGTGGATTTAAATATAAAGCGACAAGATTTCAGGGCAAGAGGAGGCTGAGCTCTCATTAGGCCCTCATGGCTAATGAGACGAAATACTAACCTGTTAGCTTGGCATCCAAGGTTGTCTCATACTCCAACCACAGCCTAACCTTCCAGCCTCAGCACCAAAGACTATCTCATCACTGGTATTTCCTTGGTGACAATAAATATTTAAGAATGGCATGCCTTTGTGGGCCCTGTTAGCTCTTATCTCCTCTTCTTGACACACCTGTAATCACCCCTCAAATGCAGTCATGGTTCTAGCTGCCAGGTGCATACACCTGCTGCCTGGAATGATCCTATTCCATCTTCTCCACCAGGTGAATGCCTCCTTGGCCTGTAGGACTCAGCACAAACCATCACCTCCTCTGGGGAGCCTTCCCGGCCCAACCACTCTCCCCCTCACATTCCCAGTAGGAGTCTCTGCTGAGCACCAGAGCATCTTAGGCATATTCCTACCACACACTCATTGCCCTCTACTGTATTCTTTACTTACTTGCGTCCCCCACATAATTCAGTGATTTTTTAAAGATTTTATTTATTTATTTATTTTAGCGAGAGAGAGAGAGAGAGAGAGAGAGAGAGCGCGCGCATGCACAGGGGGAGGGGCAAAAGAAAAGGGAGGAGGAAAAAAATCTTAAGCAGACTCTGTGCTGAGTACAGAGCCAGACGTGGGGCTCGATCTTGTGACCCTGAGATCATGACCTAAGCTGAAACCAAGAGTCAGATGCTTAACTGACTAAGCCACCCAGGCGCCCCTAATTCAGACATTTTTGAGAAATGGGACTTTATTTCTTGATCTCAAAGTCTGTACCTAGCGCAGTGCCAGAAAGAAGGAAAGGATTTTTTGGGGGGGGGAGGGGGTAGGTGGGCTGTGTCAGGAACTCTCCTAGGCACTTAAAATGTAATATAATGAAAAATATAGTCCCTGCCATCAAGGCACTCTACAATCTTTATAGGAAGAAAGATACATTCCCTGCCAGTATAACATGAGGATAGGATAGTGGTCTTAAAAAGCGCTAAGAGCCCAGAAGGACAAGGTGGAGCAAGAATGGCACAGAAACCTTCCCAGAATAAATGGGGTTTAGGGGAAATTAGCAGAAAGGCTCCCTGTTCCCTCTCTCTTTGCAGGAGTCGTGAGAGGTAAGCAAGTGTGTTGGTGAATCTGCCCAGACCCACCAAAGACTCCATGCCTTATTAAGAGTCATTACTCAATTAAACTTAATTACTTGGCCAAGAAGTGATGTACATGCAGATAGATTCGTAATAAGGACTGGGGTGAAATATTAAAACAGCTCTGGAACCACTTCTCAATTTAAAGCATCTGAGGGCTTCGAGGAAATTTTGTTGATAAGGAGCCTGATTAGAAGCCTCTGGACAGGGGCGCCTGGTTGGCTCATTCATTAAGCGTCTGCCTTCGGCTCAGGTCATGATCCCAGGGCCCTGGGATTGAGCCCCGCATCAGGCTCCCGGCTCCCCGCTCCGCGGGAAGCCTGCTTCTCCCTCTCCCACTCCCCCTGCTTGTGTTCCCTCTCTCACTGTGTCTCTCTCTGTCAAATAAATAAATAA